TATGCTCACTCCATTATTTTTAACATTTTTCGGGATACGGAAAAGAGGTGGCGGACGACGATCCACCACGATTTTAGACAAGCATGGACCTATTTTATTTTGTTATCTTTTGTATTAGAACTCTAATATTTTGTAAATGTAATCTTAACTATTTTGAGAAACTTTAGTTTAATTGGTACAATATTGTAAGTTATGGACTTTTAAATTCTAGCTACGTTTTACGGATTATAACTTGATGTAACTTAAGTGTGTTTCTTGTTGGGATGAAATGGAGGAACGGGAATTTTTTTGTATGTATGTAGCCATTTTAGAAATGTGATATAATATCTGTATTGTGCGTTGGGACATGATAAGTTATTTTTTTTAAGGCCAATGAGGCCATTGCATTTTTTATTTTTATTTATTTTTATATATATTTTAACAGGTTGTAGAGGGACTTTTCTGCGGAGGTCATGCCGAAATTATATATATTTTTATTATTATTTTGGTATCTAGTTGGGTCGTTACAATATGATCTCTATTCTTATTGTCATGAGAAACCCTTAGCCACCAATCTCAAACAATAAGAATAGGTTGATTTTGATTTAAAGAAGAATTAATTTTAAGACAAGAGATTAATTTATCAAAAACTAATTATTCAATTAAAAACCAAATTGCTTAGAAGATCTAAGTCAATTGCTCGATAATCATGCAATCAACTATACATTAATAATGAAAATCTCAAAGTTTAGAACAATCAAATCATAGTAATCGGATTTGAGTTACATCAATGCCCTAAGAAGGGATTTAGCTACTCACGACGATGGAGCTAGGATGTCTTCTTTGTTGGTATAAAACTTATCATCATGGACTGCACTTTTCTTCTATGGATCTTCTTCTTTAATTCTTCCGAGAAACCTCCAATTATTTATTTATATGTTTTTAAAGCATTTGAATATCTCTGGCCTCATATTTTACATTCCTCTAAGTAATTAATATAGCACAATTTTCCAAACTTTCCTGGTATTCAGAACTTTTGGAATCACTGTATAAAGATAATTAGATAAGGTCCATCATACTTGTATATGTGCAAACACACATGGATACAGTAAGGGAGAACAAAAGCAAAATCTACCATACCTTTCAAGTTGTTTCCGCCAAGATATAATTCTTTTAGGCTGGTTAAGTTCCCAATCTCTCTTGGTATTTTTCCAGTGAATTTGTTATATGACAATGACAAGATTAGAAGATCCACGCACTCATAAAAAGTGGAAGGAATTTGGCCATCGAAGACTAAGCCGATAGAGTTTTGGAAAACGGTGGCACATATCCGCTGGAAGATTACCTGATAGACTATTATTGCTGAAACTAATAAATTGAAGTGAGGAGATGTTGAACTTGGAGGTAGGTATGGAGCCCAAAAGTCGGTTCCACCTCACATCCAAAAACTGTAGACTAGCAAGCTTGCCGATTCCATTAAGAAGGTTTCCAGTAAGGTCATTGAAAGGGGATATGATAGCTTCTAGTCTATGCAAATGACCTATCTCTTCAGGGATATGGCCATGGAAACTATTGTTTGTAATGTCGAGGGATAGTAGGAAGGAGAGGTTCCTATGTGTGGAGGGATGGTACCTCTTAGGCCCATGTAAGAAAGGTTGAAGACTGCAGCTCTATGGTGGTGAGTGCTGGAATGGACACCAATCCAGTTGCAAGGGGAGGGTGAGATGGTCCGGTACACTTTTACTGACTCAACTTGACTATTTATGTGTCAAATATAATGGCCCAACTTAAACTAGTAAAAAATTATATTCTTTCTTATCTCCTCCTTACCCAAAAAAATTATATTCCTTTAAAAAATTATAAAGGAAAAACTAATCATCTATCCTATTATTATTTTTTTTCCTTCTTGTCTCCTCCTTACCGAATAATATATCCTTTCTTAGAACAAAACATAAGTGTATTAGTTTTTAGGGAAGTGCATGGTTGATATGAATTGTAACGATATATTCTCCATGGCTAACATCTGGCCAAAGTAACATATTCATGAGAGATGAGTACTAGGGGCAGTCTCTTCCTTCTTTTTTTATTGGTTGAAATAATAATCATAGCAACTGTATTTAATAGGGTATTTTTTTGGAGCATTAAAAATCTATATATATATATATATATATATATATATATGCAAATGCGCAACAATTATGTAATTTTTAAATATAATAGGCAACAATTATTCCACCGGATTCAAGTCAATATATAGAGAAATATATATACAGGATAAAGAGAGAGATAGTTGTGTATGAGATGTGATTTTTGATTTGTTGGTGAAGAAGGGCCAAATTTTGTCAAAGCGACGACAATGATTTTGGTTTGGTTAAATACGTTGCACTTTTGGCCTAGTGTTGTGGAATAATGGAATAAGAATAATAATAATATACGGAAACAATCAATAAAAAAAACAAAAACACACGAATACAAATATCTCAACGTTCGATCGAGACAAATGCATATTTCTTCGATTTAACTTATTTAGTCCTTGATCGAACAAAGGAGGCCTAAGTTCGAGTGAGATTTTTTATGCTCTCGAGATCTCTATAATAACTCTGTCGATTGAAGTAGGGATTAGGTCGATCGATAGACATTTTTATCGAGACAACAATACTTTCATCAAAATTTGTAATTTAAGCTTCACAACCTCAACAGCTAGACCTTTGGGCTAATGCGAATCAGAAAGGCTAGGAGTATATTTGACAGAGAATAGAGGGTTTAACATGTAAAAAATGGGCAATGCCTACCTTTAAATTTTTTTTTTAAATGGGCAATGCCTACCTTTTTATAAAAAAAATTTAAAGACAGATGTTCTAATTACATTGAACCACATTAATTAAATGAACTTCATGGACTCAAGTATTGTCTTTATTTTATTATACAATATATTTTATTAATGATAAACAAATTTACTTCTTCTTCTTCTTCTTCTTCTTCTTCTTCTTCATTTTTTTTTTTTTTTTTTTTTTTTTTTTTTGAGAAAGCCAATCTTTTGTATAATCAAATCCTCTACGATTTTTAAAAGTAAAGAAGCATGAGATTCATCATCACTCTACCCCTTATACTAAATTCTAACCTCAGATGCCACAGTAATTGTTCAAAGAAGCATGAGATTCATCATCACTCCATCTCTTATACTAAATTCTAACCTCAGATGCCACAGTAATTGTTCGTCACTTTCCACCAATTCAGAATTTAGAAATTTTTTGTTTCTTAAACAATAGTGACACTTTCAAATATTGCTCTAACTTTTGACAAGGGTATAGAAGAATATAACCACACAAATACCATGTATCAAACCCATCAGCTTACTATCTTTACAATTATCTTGACCACCACAAAGATGTGACATAATATTATCTAAACGAGCCAAGAGGTTCCCTCCGCCACCCCTGAGCCACCCTCCTCTCACCGTCCCCCCTCCTCCACCCAGCATCAATCCTCGGCCAGTAAGCGCACAGCTCTACCTCACAAACCTCCCACCCACCCTGTTACCAAGTTCCCATTAACTTCAGGTGCCAAATCTTCCAAACTCACCACTCCCACTAGAAGCCAAAACCATCCACCACACCCAAATCTCCACCTCATGGTAAACCACATCCCTCTTCACGTGACTCATGTCAGTCAAACCAGCCCAGATCAAACCAGCCCAGGTCCCCATCTGTCACAGGCATCACCATTGACCGAATTAAGAAGATCCTTCAGAGTGACAGAATCCTTAATCCGTCAAACAAGGTAGTTGATGAAATCCACTACCTGCCAGAGGGTTTGGATGCGAGGATTATGGATGCCTCCAAGGCAGACCTGATTGATGAGGTTGCAAAGCTGAAACAACATCTTCTCTCCGCTGAGGAAGAGCTTGCCAAGCTGAAGGTAGCGGCCCACCCTCCCATCTCCTCCATGAATGCAGCCCCCGCTGATCCACCACCCCACAACTGCGTCCCAGAAATTAGGCGCATCATGGAATTGGCTGCTTCCAATCACAACAGCTTAATGCACTCACTCTCTGAGCTCCTCGCCGGGCACAGCCATCCTTCTGGCCTGAGCTCCGACCAGCAGATGGAGGTTCCCATTCAAAAATTGAAAATTTCCCCCCAGTCATATCATGAAAGTGACAATGCTGATGCTATGACTGACACACCTAACCACGCATGCATCCCTCCTTCCTCACCCAATATATCTTCTGCATCACCAGCCATTTGTCAGAATGTTGACCCAAGTCATTTATCCACTTTTGGGGGTTCCCACGACCCTAGGAACAGAGGGCCCCCCTACTCTTCTAGCTGCCAGCGAGGAGAATCTCATTTTTGTCTCCCCCTCAAATGCACAAAGATCCAATCAAAGAATTACCCTATTACCTCCGGCAGTCCAAAACTTTAGGGCCAGAGTAACCCATTCAATATAGGAGATATTTTATATCACAATAAAATAAAATAAAACCAAATGAAATATGAGCATGATGAAATGGAGTAGTGTTAGTTGGGGTCTCCTGTTAATTTGCAACTCTACTACGTGGGTGCAGTTGAAGAGACGCACGATTGTTCTAGAATTACATAAACACGAGACTTTTAGACTTCTAAACTCCTCTTCTCATAGTTCCCACAGTCCAACTCCAGTCGATTCACTTCCAACATCTCCCTCCCTCTCTACTCTTGAAATCCTTCAACCTATACATTCTTATTGTACCTATAAACAATTTGGAATCACTGGTGATCGATCTCCATCCATGGCGGAGGACACCATCATGGAAGAGAGAGAAGAGCTCATGGTTTCACCCAAAGGCGGAGACCCAACTCTCAGAATCGCCCATTTCCTCAAACCCACTGTCACCTCCATTGATGGACCACCCATTGATCTTCCTTCGTCTTCTTCCTCCTCTGCACCCGCCAATTCCTTGTCAAACAAACCGCCACTCAAAACGGCGTTCATTGGCTGGAGACACGCAACAAAAGGATTGGAAAGCATGGGTGAGAAGCATGCGTTCTTTGCATCAATCAGTGTGGAAGAAGGCCGGAATCGACGAGGCCATCATGAATTCAACCTACACAATCATAAGAAATGACAAGTTGGTGTTTGGGTTTGCTGAGAGATGGTGCTCCGAGACCAATACATTTGTGTTCCCATGGGGAGAAACAACCATCACTCTCGAAGATATAATGATTTTGGGAGGTTACTCTGTTTTGGGTGACTCTGTTTCAAGCCCTCTTGAATCAAGAGAAATGGAGGAAACCCAAGAGAAACTCCTCCGAGCACGGACTGAATTAACCAGGAGTAAAGCTAATAAGGCCTGCCAACATGGATGGATGTCTAAATTCATGGCTAGTGGAAGCGACGTAGAGCACGAAGCATTCCTAACCTTTTGGTTGTCAAGGTTTGTCTTCTTCTCATCGTTATCTAGCACCATAGGAAAAGATGTTATTCCAATTGCTATCCATCTAGCTAAAGGTACTAGAATCGCGCTTGCACCGGCTGTTCTTGCAAGCCTTTACAAAGACTTGAGTTTCTTGAAAGAGGCTATTGTGTCCCCAAACAGATTAGGAGTTACAGTTTGCGCGCCATTACAATATGTTCAGATTTGGGCATGGGAGAGGTTCCTTACATTGCAGCCAAATGCCAGTTCCGTTGGACATGGTGAGCCAAGATTGGCTCGATGGGAGAAAGCTAAGAAAGTGAACATTGAGAATATAAGGTTGACATTAGATTCAGCTGGAGAATATTTTCTGTGGCGGCCGTATGCTGCAAACAATGAGAAAGGAGAGTGGTTATTGTTTCGTCAAGGGACGGATGAGAAAATGGAGTCACTTGCTTTATGCTTGAGGGTCTGTGAGCTGGTTGGGCATGGAGCTAGGTGTATAGAGCAGTACCTTCCACATCGAGTAGCACGACAGTTTGGGTTGGATCAAGATCTTCCAGGTCCGGTTGCTCGTTTCAATGCAACTCCTGCAATTGCTTGGAGGAATTACAAGAGGCCAATTAAGGACAAGAAATTATATATTCCACCACGACATTGTGAGCCGGGTGTTACGAATCGATATTTGGAGTTGTGGAATAAAATAAAGATTGGTCAGCATCAGCAAGAAGCTAATTCAAATAGTTTGGAAAGAACTCCACAAAGTTGTAAGAGAGAAACAGATCCTGCTGTGCCTCCTGGTTCCACCCAAATGCATTTCTATTGAATCAAGTGATTCTAGTGATGATGACAGATTATTAATATCGGAGATGTTGAGAAGAAATATGAAGCGTAGAGGCGGCCAGCCTTCAATGGGATCTCAATTGCAAACTCTATCGTCTTCGAATAGTGGAACTATTCAAATGATGGAGTCGGTGGTTAAAAATCCAGAAAAGATTGCCGCAGTAGTTGCAGATGATGCAAGTGAAAGTAGAGCAGATATGATGGCGGATATTGATGCAATTGAAAGTCAAGTGAGGGCTCCGGTTACTAATATGGTAAGCATCGACAGCCATCTAGCTGGAACATCAGTTTATAACGTGATGAGAACTAACAGCCATCTAGGAGAAAGCAACACTCATCATACATATGAAATAGGGGGATTGGAAATTGAAGCTAGAATTAGCAAGCTTGAAAAAGTGGTTGCTCTGCTAAAAGCAGCAAAATTAGGCCAGAGATTTACTTAAGACATAGTGAAAGTTTTCGCTGACAGAAACCATCAAAGTGATACTCTAATAGCAGGATTTTATTGCTAGATCAATATTGGCTTTTGTGATAATTGTTGTTCACAACTCTAGTAATGTGTTTCTTTGAACTTCGAACTGATATTGGTTGCTAAATATTGATGCAATCATATTTGTCATATTTCCTTACAAGAACAGATTTGTTAGTTAGTTATACGGTAGTTATTTTTCATTCATTGCACACTTCCGTCATCTTCTATGTTGAATAACACCTAGCACCATTGGTTCATTTGTAATTTTTAATAAATTACAAACAAATTCTTAAAAAATTAAGTCTCATAAATGTTAACATACAATAAATTAAGATTTAACAAACGAAGTTGAAAATAAAAAAAGGTAATCATAATTTAAATATTATATATAATGTATTTTAAAGTACAAATATATATAAAAATAATGTTATAATTTGGGTTCGGGTTGGCCAGGTTGCTAGTACTTCAACTAAAGTCCAACCCTAATTCAATTCGGGTTGATATTTTTCAATCCAAATCCAATCCTAATTGTAAAAATGATTGCTCAAACGCGCGAAAAATTGGGCTAGGCTTGGGTTGGGTTCGGGTTTCCCAACCCAAGTTGCATCCCCAATTATTGTAATGTTTGAAAGATAGTATTGTAATTTAAAACTGTATAAATTTGTAAAAAAGGAAGGTTGACCCAACCATCTTATTATCTTTTTTCTTCTTGTCTTTCTGACTCTCTCTATCTTTTTTCTTCTTGTCTCTCTGACTCTCTCTATCTAATAAAGAAAATTTGTTCATTCCCTTTCTTTCATTTCAGCTCTCTTCATTCCTTCCTATTGCAGAAAGAATTATGATTGTTATTACTCAAATTTATATATATGTATATATAAAGGGTAAATTAATAATGGGAGACAATATTCGCACTCCATGTAACGACCCGAACCCATGGGTTCGAACTGTTAACCGAGGCCTTATTCGAACCCGAGGTCAACTAAGGACAATTCCGTCCTTTCTTATGTTCATAGGTAGGACACAGATCATTCAAAGGTCCAAGATATTTCTAATACACAACTTAGAAGGAGAAATCAACGGTACAGGTCAAAGGGCAATGTCAGCCGGCTGGTGGCCCTGCGTCGATCGGCTGAAAATGCATGTTCGGTCGACTGAGTGAGATGGTCCACCGGCTGAAACAATGGTCCAAAATGCATACTCTCGGGACTTTGCCAAAATGAACTGTCGGCTGACTGATGGATAGGGTTCGACCGGTTGAATGTGGTGTTTCGGTTGGCTGATGGGGAGGTTCAACCGACCGAAACAATGATGCTGAGGATGCAACTCTCTGGAATGGTCAAAAGAGCACTGTCGGTCGGCTAATGCTCTTTGTCAGCCGACCGATAGGCCCTGGAATGCTGCTATCTGCAGCTGATAACATCAGAAAGATTAGGCTCATTGTGAGCCAACCTGTACAAGACCTGATACCGAATCCACGGCAACAGTACATAACATTATACAGTTAAAAAGCATCCATAATTTCTCAAAAATATAGCTTCATTTCCCATTCAACATCAAATATCTACATAGTCTCAATTTTACATCAAACTACTATCGAGAAGTCTTAGTTACAGTTCACAGTAAGTTTTACAAACTGATACATTTTTCTAAAGATTGAGACTTTACAAAAGAATGGGTCCAAATATACAAAAGGTGATGAAATAAACTTCTAGTCCTCTTTTAAGCTTGTGATGGGTCAGCATCCACCACTTCCTTCCCGAGCCCTGAAAAATGTTAATGATAAAGGAGTGAGCATAAGCTCAGTAGGAGGCACTTAAGACACACCTCTTGTGACTCCGTGAATCGAAGCAATGAATAAAAATAAAGAGAACGGGTTCACGCCATGCCGGGGGAAAAAAAACTTAACAACAAAACCAACAACAATAAGTCAAAGTCGTGATAAACCATGCCATGCAATGGAGTGCAATGTTTTGTAATGTCACTCCACATTTTCCAAAACAATATTATTTCACTTTCCAAACCGTTAGTGCAATCCGACCCAAGGTAACTCGAAGGCGTCACGAAAAGAGGATTGGTTAACCATTCGCGACCACAAGGCATCATATCTGGCATAGTTAGCTCAACCACACTAGGGTTTCTCCCTAATCCCCTCTAGACCACACTAACGCCACGGATCCTAGGCAACTCCTAGGCGACTGGGTTTGTGCAAAACCTTTGTTCAAAACTTTTTCCCAAAACCTTTTACCTTTTGTTTCAAATCAAAATTTTCCCGTTCATACCCCATGATGTACATGGATGCCTCATGCTTTTCAATAATATGCCAAGAAGAAATTTCATACTATACAAGTCAAATATTCACAATATAACAAGCTTTAGAAGAAATTTCTAATAATGATCAACATGCTTCCATATTACAAAATCTAACAATTTAGACACAATAGGCATAGAATATTACCACTTAAGTATGCTTTCTCATACAACATCAACTAACACACATAATCATATGTTTCATATACAACAATTAAGTCATTTTAAAGGAAATCAATACAAATTTAGCATGCTAGACAATAAACCATGAAGATATAACTCACAAAAGTCAAAGAAGTTGTGGATTAGAGACCCTTACTTCTTAATTGAAGAAAAGTCCCAAAATTCCCAAATCTAAGCCCTAATTTCGAAAATCTCAAGGTTGGCCAAATGAGACTTGGCTCCGATCAAATCGAAGATCTCGGTGAGCTCTCCAACTATGCTTTAAGTGCTACTATCAAATTCTTAAAGATGAGAGGGAGATCAAAGCTTCAAGCTTGAAGCTTAAAAGAAAAGAACAAGAAAAATGAGAAAAGAGAGGGAGAGAGAGCTTTGACGGGAGAGAGAGAAAATAAAATGAGGCCAAGAATGGTCTCATGGCTATTAAAAGAATGGTCTCATGGCTATTAAAAGAAAGAGGATGGTGGGCCCCAAAAAAAGATTTTCTTTTAACATTAAATTTCTACCACAAAATTCATATATATCTACATTAATTGTATTATAACCACAATCTAGCATTCAACAATTAACTTATGCACAAAATTAATAATGCATGTATGCAATGAACCCATGACACCACTCCCGTACACAACAATTCCAGTAGCGGGTTCCACCTGAGACCTTTCGGCCCAATAAACAAGAAAATGCCAAAATGGCCACCGATACAATTCCGAGAGTTCTGAATTCAAGGAATTGACTTAAACAACTCCCCAACACATCCGGCACATCCCACGGTGTTCGGTACGCAAAACGAGAAAAGATGAAAATACCCTCGAAAAAAAGAAATTTCTAGAAAATGAAAAATGACAAAAATCAGGAACATTACACTCCACTTTTCTCTAATTGCACTACATTTATCATTTTCTTTTAAAAGAAATGACAAGAAAGTCCTTCAATTCATTAATGCATAATTCCTTAATTTATAATGTCATAACTACCCTTTATACAACTTTATTATTATTATTTTTTTACCTTATTTACTTTCTTTACTATTTTTTTTTTCCTTTGTTTTTGTTTTTCCGGAGGTACTCTCAAAGAAAATAATTTATTCTATACTAATAATTTTATTTTTGGTAATCAAAAAGGATAATTTATTCCATAGTAACTTCTTCTTTTATTTATTTTTATTTTTATTTTTTGTACAATTGAAAAAGATATTTATTTAACAAAATTGACTTTTTTTCAATTTTGTCAAAAGAGGTAACTTTATTTTTTGTTACTTTTATGGTCATGTCAAAAGAAATAATTTGTTCGCTAAAAATAAACTCTTTTTTTTTTTTTTTTTTTTGAGGGGGGAGGGGAAGGGGGAGTTCTTATCAAAAGAGATAATTTATTCAATAGAGATAATTTTTTTTTTTTTTTTTATCATCTTCCTTTTGTACTTTTTATTATTATTATTATTTTGAGATCTTGATCTACAACAAAGATAATTTATTCAATAAATACATTTTTATGGGTTTTTTTTTTTTTCTTCATGTCTAAATGGTTACTTTTTATATTTTTATCCGGCCAAAAAAAGGCAATTTATTCAACATAACATATATATATATTGGTCCCTTAAAAAAAATTATTTTTATTTTATTTTATTTTATTTGTGTGGTCGCAAGATATTTAAAAAATTAATGATTAGAGATAATGAGAGAAAATATGAAAGGACAATTGTGTTATTTAAAAAGTAATAATTATTTCTTTGTAAATGTAAGGTTAGAATTGTCATTTCATTTAAGATTGTAGTGCAAATATTGAAAAGTAGAGTACGAATATCGTCTGCCTTAATAAATTAGTAATATGAATGGGGTGCGGTGGTGACCTTCCTCCGCCTCGCCTGAACCCACATGGGTTTTTTCATCTAAAACCCATCACCACCCAAATCACATAAATGGGCCACTAAATCCAGTTTAAATGGGGCGGGGCGAGGACCCGTCCCTACCAATAAGGGACGCAAGTGATCAAGTTCGTGAGGGTAATGGTTTCTAAATGCCCAA